CTTTCTTTGCGTGAACATTTGGGCGGCGTTATGCAAATCTTCCCACATTGTGACGTAGACATGTGGGGGCGTGTTAGAACGAAAGCGTTTTAGGTAGGCGTGGCTGACTCTTAACTTTTATAAAGAATATCTCTTTGGATTTGAGACTTTAGTCTTTGCAACTTTACAGATCTTCTTTATGCACCAAGAGCTTGTAACACTCCAAAGAGAAATGAAAAATTTAAATCGCATCATATGACCCCTTTAAAGGGACCATCAAAATAAAGTGAAACCCGAATTACAAATTTCACTATAAGTCTGTTTGCTTTTATTTTCTAATTCAATAAATCTGTGACCTTTTTTTTCAGTTTTGAGCCACCAGGGCCCATGTCTGCAGGCATGGCTTGTGAACTGGAGGTTATATTTAGACCTTTGGTAATGTTTTTCCCCACTTTATATTTGCATCACCTCTAGTGTTTGTCACAGGAAATATATTTCTTTGCTTTACTCTGTAGCCACTACACGTCCCTGTGATGTATTGCCAGAGAAAATAAGATGAAATTCTGTAACATTGTTTTTTTATTATTATATCACTGCATATGAGCAAAAAAATTATTAGATGAAACCTATAATTTCAGTTGAACATTTTAATTTCTTTCTTTCTCGTTCTCTCTCTCTCTCTCTCACACACACTGTTGTAAATATAATGAAACTGATTGTGGAATGCTTAGTAATAAATATTCAATATTTGTTTCAGCTTGATGTGGATTTGGGTGGAATGATCCATTTTCAGTCAGCTACTGGCCCTTTTTCTGTTTCCATTAAGTGCTCCAAGAAAAAATGTGAGGTAAGGAAATTACATTATCCATCACAGGTTTTATAGAAGATAAGGAGCTTTTGAGGAGCTGTTAATATGTTTTTTTCCCCCCCAAAAAATCAGATATCTTATTTTTTTACCAGGTGGTTGTTGATCAATGTCTTGTGGATTTTGGTACTCATGTGGTTGGACAGAATGTTTCACGAGTAATCACCTTAACCAACAGAGGAGCCCTAGGCACTGGTTACATGCTGACCCCCATCACCAACGGCCCCCTTCAGCAATCCTTCACAACACTGGTGAACAACACTGAAACATCTATAGAATATTTCCTCTGGTAGTGCCTTGTTTAAAGGCCACTGGGGTCATAAATGAACTGAGAGGAAGATAGTCACGATGTTTGGTTATGTTAATTTTTCTAAAAGGGTGAATCTCACAAAAATATGTTCAGGTAGGGGTGCCAGCTTTCTAACCCCCAGATATGCTAAAGGTGGTGGAATAGTGCCAGTGCAGATATGTTGGTGTATTACTTCAAACAGATGCATATTTTATGTTACAGGAAACATACACCAACACAGAGACATCCCATAGACTCGTTACTTCAAGGCAATGATACTACACGCCTGACCCAAACCCTCACGGAAACCTGTTGACATTTGTAGATATAACATTATTAGATGATTTGTCCAAATTATATGCCTTTTAAAGAGTAAGGCCATATTTCTCTGCAAAATTTAGACCTTCACAAGTGCAATCAAACACACAAATTGTATATGCATTTCTACAATTTATGTACAATTTTCATAAGAATTGTATTAAATGTTTGACTTCTGTGCTGATTCCTGTGTGCAGCTGTTTAAAATAATGAAATAATAATAATAACGTACACCGATTTGTCATAACAACGTAAGGTTTACACAGGATTTCAATTACACATGGTGGAGGATAAGGGACAACAGACTCCATTATAACAAAGTCACTTTAGCCAAAAAAAATTAACATTCCTGCCAACACAGGACAGCTGGCAACTCTATGATCAGGTCACATTTTGCAAACACTTCTTTGGACAGTTCTTGACAGGTTTCATGAAATTCACCCATTAGCTACAGTGTACAGTAATATGTGTTAGTTACATTGATGACAGTCCTAATTATGAAGGCAAGCAGTTGTACATAATAACATTGATTAACAGTTGGGCAAAGAGCAGGTCTTTGGGCTAAGATTTTATTTTTATAGTCAATCTCTCTGCCCAGGTTTCTGGTAAAACTGACAGTGCTGAGATGCCCAGTGTAAATGTAGAGAACACAGCAGAAATTCCATCAGGCACAAAGAACACAGGAGACACTGCTCACATGGAACCAGGTAACACAATGCTTTTCTCCTGTAGTATAGTGTTTTTTGCAGTAATAGAGTTGTAATTGTGGTCATTTTAGTTGCAAACATGTAAAAAATAATGACAATGTCAACATAACGTCCATGTTGATGTGACTGTATAATTTGTAATAGGCCTGCGTTCTTACTAGGCTCTTTGAGCAATGACTTAACCCCTTGTGCAACCGGCATCCAAAACAAAAATAATCAGTCAAAACAAATTGTGCTGACATTGCCTTGCGTCTAAAAAATTGTATCTTAATTTTACGTAATTGTATATTAATAGATGTTTTTTTGCATACCTACATAGATGTATTCATTTTGTAATTATTTTTAATAGTAAATTCTCCTTGCCTGTAATGATAGGTGTGTCTCCTGTCAGCAGTCGTAGTCCTGATGAGGTTCTGATGGCTGATCCAGGATTAGTGGATACTACAGTGGAGCAGCAGAGCAGCTTTGAGCCAACTGAGTTTAGCATTGGAGAGGTATAAACGCATTGACCATTTACACACATTTAAGAAAACAAATCAGGAAAGCCAAAAAAAATCATGTAAAACAAGTAATTAATCCTGGTACATTGAATACTGGGTTACATTGAACTGGCTTCAGGTTTCACACTGCTCGTAATTTACCAATAACAATTAATCCTGGGTATTCACAAACTGACATTTCAGACTGAACATGTCTAAACCCAGGGTTAACATTCTTATTTGTGTATTTTTGCATGTCAGTGTCATTGATTGGACAAATGCAGCATGTAAAGTGTTTACATAATGGCTCTAGCATTCGGCATCCTCATGTTATATATAGAATTTTTCCTGAATGGACTTTGGAAAGGTAAAAATTAAACAGTCTCTTTTTGTCTGTTGCTAATCCCCAAAAACATTGTTAACCCTGCTCCGTAACAGGGTTTCATAACCCCGGGTAAAAAGCATTGCTAAATTATAAGTGTGAAATGTACCTTTTAATTGGGTTTAAAAGCAGGGTTTAAAACAAGAATAACCCTTGGTTAAGTGCAGTGTAACAAGTCCTAAAGTTTGTTTATTTATTTATTTGTTTGTTTGAATACACATTTATCAAAAGTGACTTACAAATGGTTAATACAACAAAGAGCTTCACCCTAAGGGAGCAGTATCATAAGTATTTTTGACCAATAGGAAGCTTTAATATAAATTTCTGCTGAACATGACAGCAGTAGTTTATCAAATAATTGCAAAGAGCACCATAACCAGACATATACCCAGATAAGTACATTCAGCGTCTTGGTAACACTTTACTGTAACCTTTTGTTAACATTAGTTAATGCATTAACTAACATGAACTAACAATGAACAATATATTTTTTATAGCATTTATTAATCTTTGTTAATGTTAGTTAATAAAAATGTTCATGTTAGTTCACAGTACATTAACTGTGATGAACAGATACAACTTTAAACTCATTTGCATTTAAAGTGATACACACCAAAACAGCTCTTTTGTAGACATGCCTTAAAAATAATATTTTCCAGATGTTATAATAAACGATCTGTGGAGTATTTTCAGCTGAAACTTCACACACATTCTGGCGACACCCAAGACCAATATTACATATTGTAAAATAGGGCATAATAGGTGCCCTTTAAATTTGAATAATGTATTAGTAAGTTTTGAAATTAATATTAACTAAGATTAATAAATGCTATATAAATATTGTTCATATTAACTAATATAGTTAATTGATGTTAACGAATGAAACCTTATTTTAAAGTGCTATCAACATCTTAAAGAGTCCCAATTCAGGTCCCTGGATCACAGTGGTGAATCAGTGTACATAATGCTGCACTCTAGGCCAAGCAGCAAAGACTTTGGTAAATAAAGATAAAATAAAGATAAAAATTAAAGTGTATTTCACTGAAGAAAAAATTCTTGCTGTGTCATTGGGCAAATGTTTGCCCATTGTGTGAGTAGCTCCATAGGAATCCATTGTTACAATTCTAAATCCTCTCTGAGGTGAACATTTGTGCTGAACATTAGTGTTTGGTGAATGGGCCTTTCATGCTGTGCAATGAAACACCACTATGAATAGCTGCAATTTATTCATAGTGAATCTCACTTTGGTGTGAGAGTTAAATGGAAAAGTGACAGATTGATTGTCTCTCTGCAGGCTTATGTTGGTGATGTCGGCCCATTTATGAGTGTCAAACTACCCATCATCTTCACACCAACCATTCCAGGGGAGGCAAAACTGGATTTCCAAATCACGTTTTCTCAACCTAGTTGTGAACCGGTATAGTTTTCACATAAAACAATGTTTTATTTTTGCTTTAACAGCTCAATAGATTAACTTGACTTTTCTCCTTGTTTTCTTGAATGCATAGATTGTGGTTTCAGTTTGTGGGGTGGCAGAGAGCGCACCTGTATGGGTGACCAAGCCAAATATTGACCTAAAAATCTGCATGTATGATCGACTTTATCAGGACAGCATCGAAGTTCAAAGCAGGTGAATTGCACCATCTATATTTTTATCAACACAACATCCATATCAGCCACTGATCTCTATATATCACCAGATAGTTTGAAAGTTCGATGTGGCTTTACGTAAGGAAGAAATTTAAAATCTTAAAGTACCTGCAGCAGGTGAACTGGAGATATATTGCGACCGGTAAACCATGCAGAACCAATTTTCTTGTGATTTTGGCGATCGCACCCGGTCTATGCATATAAAATCCAGCACACTAAGCTGCAGCAGCCACATGCGTCAGCCATCAGGTAACACTTAGATTTCCTTTCCCACACGCACTTCCGTTTTACTCCTTATAAATCTTTTTCCGTTTTCCCAAACTTCCGCCTAATTGTGGGTAAGGTACAAGGACTGGCACTGACTTTTTCCCGTATTGCCACATGCTGATGGAATTTTAAACTGCCAGAAGGAGGTGAAGTCAGTGAGTAGTCATTTATTGTAGGTGCCCAACTGCCGACTGACAGTTAAAACCATGACTTAAAGGGGTCATCGGATGCTAAATTCACTCTTACATGTTTGAACTGAAATGTGTGTTGGCAGTGTGTGTACACAACCACTCTACAGTATAATGATAAAAATCCACCCAGTGTTTTTTTTAAATCCCAATAAATCATAACCACTTTCTCAGATCAAGCCGTTCACAGATTCTTGGCAGAGTGACATCACACAGACCCAGGCCCCTCCCGTGATTGTTGACTGACCGGTGTTTTATCACAGACCCGTCCTGAGTGAGCTGTCATCAGTCCACCATTGTTTCGACGCTGGAGCAGGTGTAGACAAGAATGTCTCCTAAGCGATGGAGTTGTTTTGTTTTTGGATGCAATAATGAACATAGCAGTCGTCATTTACTCCCGACATCTGAGCCGCTGAAGACGCAGTAGTACTTTTGTGTTTGAAGGGAAGGCACCCCCCAATCTATCTAAATGAGTCTATGTTCGCGCAAATGATTCATGATCCAGCTTCACTTACAGAAGAAGTGATTATAAGGTTTTTTCATGAATCTTTGCAAATCGCCTTTCCTAATAATGTGCTAGTTAGCGAGTTCTGCAACGAATGTGGCTACAGTTTACAGTCTCATGAGAACAGCTTTTGACAAGGTAAAAAGGGTGATGTTTTACACTACCATTGAGAAATTTTAACCAAATTACATTACAGACTTTTCATTAAGACCCTAATGATATCAACTTGTGGAAAATGGGCATCCGATGACCACTTTAAAAAGTGTTCCCCACAAGTGACAAGCAGAGTTGTTGAAACAAAGTTACCATACTTCACTGAGAATGCTCTATCAGTAGGATAAAACTTAAACCACTTTTAAACCATCCCATGTATTACAACCAAATGAGATAACCGATTAATAAGAATCACATGGTCTATTGCAGTGTTTCCCAACCTTTTTTTAGTCCAGCACAGTAGGGCTATTGCAGACAGAAACAATACTGTACTACATCGATGTTTCCTGTCAGCTCTATTTTTGAGCGGACTTTGCTGTTCCGTTGAGCATGAACGGTATACGAGTGGAGCGACTGAGCGGAGCGCACACGCATAGAGCGGATAATACGCAGAGCGTCATTCCACGTGAAAGTGAAACCTGAGCGGTGAACTAATTTTCGGCAGCCGAAATTTCGGTGCATCTCTAATTATTGGCGACATCAGAAATGGATATTATATAATAGATGCTTTTTTGAACATTTTAGCTATTTAAAAATATTAAAAAAGGATTTTTTACACGGCACCCCTGCTCTCGACAGACGGCACCCCAGGGTGCCACGGCACCCCGGTTGGGAAACACTGGTCTATTGTATCAAAGGCTGCACTCAAGTCCAATAAAATCAGAGCTGCAGCATTACTTGCATCTCTGATTAAAAGAAGGTCATTAACAACTCTCAAGAGTGCAGACTCTGTACTATGACCTGCCCTAAACTGGACTGAAATTTATCTAAGTTATCATGTTTGCTTAAAAATGATATCAGCTGTAAATAAACCACCTTCTCTAAAATCTTTGATAAGCATGGAAGTTTTGAAATGGGGCAGTAATTTTTTAATTCAAAAGGTCTAAGTTAGGCTTTTTAAGAAGCGGCTGAATAACAGCCTGCTTAAGGCCTGTTGGAACATTACCGTTTTGAAGGCTACTGTTAATAATAGAGGTAATACTTGGTCCAACTAATCCACCATCTCCTTAAGAAGACGCAGAGGAACCACATCGCAACCACCAGATGTAGGCTTCAAATGAATAATGATGTCCTTAACTTGCACCAGTGACACCTGTTCAAAGAGGTCAAAACTCCTTACACAGGCTGGTGACATATCAGACCCATCCGGCAATATAGGAAGACTAGCTCTAATCTTCTCCACTTTTTCCACAAAAAATGTCCGAAAAATTTCACATATTTTCAATGAGGGAGTCAGAGCAGAACAGCCAATTGGATTGAGAAGTCAATTATTAATTAATTGTCGGTTCACACAGGATAAGAATCACTCAATACGGAGTTTGTGCGTGTTTGATTTACACACTGCCGATACAAGTGATTGAACTAATCTAAAACATATTTATGTATGCATGTAATAATGCAGGAACAAATTACGCGTATGTCTGGGATTATTACCAGAAATAGATTTGAATAAAGTATACAACAAATATTGTAGTAATACAAGCCTCTAATACTATATTACACAATAGTGGCACATATCTATGTTTAGATGACTGATTAAGAATCTACCATGTAAACAGAGATTTTTGATTACCTTAATCCGACTAAAGTCATACTCGAAGTAAACACAAATCGAATTAAGACGTGGAGTATTCCTAATTTAGTCGCATTATCAAAGTGCAGTATAGAATAGACATGTAAACACCTTAATCACATTATCACCATCGTGTAGGACTTTTTGCCGCATTTTGTGACAGGATACACACACAGAAGTGGTCAACCATTTGATGTCAAACAAAAGAGCATGGCTTCAACAACGCCGTCATCTGTTTCCACGTATAGCATGAAAAAGAATTAACTGCACTTGAAGCTTTGGCATCATAACGAAGATGAACTATATACGTGAAATTCTGGAGGGGGGATGTAATGACGTGTGCCATTAATCGATCTATGTACTACAACATGTAAAACGGGAACATGAAAGGAATATTCTAAAAGTAACTCATGTAAACACCTTAATCATAATATTGTCTTATTTAGAATAAGGTAAATAATTAGATTACTGATGTCCATGAAATGTAGTCAGTGATAGCAGGTGTATTTCCTATTGTTGCACTCTATTTCTGACCTACAGTATGACACCATCTGTTCTATTACTCATTGGTAAGAGAGCTTTTTAATAAACATAAAGTAAGTACAATGGATTTGTGATAAATCCAGAATATGTATAACAGACCATTATTATAGAGCAACATCAATATTTCTTTGATGGCTGATGGCTTGAGCATTTAGTCACTGATCAATTGCTCTAAAGCTGCTTCACTAAATGTGAGTAGAACCTTGTCAAACTTGCAAGCATGAGTTGCATGATCTGAAGCTCTCAGTGTAGCTGTGCATAGTCTGACTTATTTAAAGAATTCCCTGGATGAACATCCATTATATCTGCTGTTCTTTAAGCTTGTTGCTGCAGGCAGTACCCAACATTGGGTAAAATGGGTCACCTATTCTAGATCCATATAGATAGTGGGAATACTGCATATTTAACAGTCCTACCGATGTCAGTTTGAATGAGTGCTATAAACATGCCAGCTGCTTCTCATACTTTGTTTATTTTTCTGGTTATATAGTCCAATTGTTGATTTGTGAAGCATGTGCTCTCTGCTGTAGGAAGAAAATGTTTGGTGGAGATTACTAAAACTAAAATCTTACCTAAAACACCATGGATATCACATTTATACAATCGAGTGTAATTGTGTGTTTGTGATTAAATTGAAAATGAGCCATCTTTCAGATATGAATATAATGGTTCTCTCTGTTTATGTCTCCACTTTCAGTCTGTTTTTCTGATTGATCGAGAATGTGAATATCTGGTGTTTTTTTCTTCTTTCTTTCTTTTAAGGGCCAGCACAGCTCTCAGATTGACATTCAAGGTGTGTAAAGAGATGAGGAACCATATGTCCATCTTACCTAAAACAGGATTTATCCAGGCCAAATCCAGCTTCAGTGCTCAGCTGAAATTTCTGCCCAGGTAGTCCTTAATAATTTAATAATAACCACTGTGTTGTTCTGAAACAATTCTGCTGTGGCTTTGTTTGGAACCATTTTCATTGGCAAAATTGAGCAAAAACAGACAATACTGACAATATTATCTGAAGCGTAATATTAACTTCTTGTTTATTAAACTGTGAAATTTGAAAACATAAAACTGCATTCTAATAGGCTACATCACAGTCAGTCGTCATCCTGCATCATGTTCATCACTAAGCAATTCCATGCAATGTAAGATAATGTACAGGTCTGTGCTGGGGCAGAATGCACTGAATGCTTTAATCATTTTAACACAGAATTTTTTTCCACAATTAATTGCACCAAATTAACATGGAAATTGACAGTAACGCCTGTTATTTGTAATGTAATACCTCCAACACTGTTTCATTTAAAAAGGTCTGCTGATTACCACTAAATGCTTCATACATCATGAAATAACGTTTGTTGCAAACACTGATTTGCTCAGAGAAAGTTACAAAAACAAAAAATAACATAAAATATGATGGTTGTGAAAAATAAACTGTTCCCTTCCTTGAAAAATGTAAATTATATCATAGGAACATCTCACAACATAACACCTTGAACCATCAATAAAAGCTCCTGAGAGAAGCATGTGGACATTTAGTTGGAGCTGAATTTGAATGAGGCCGCTGAGATAGTTTTAAACCTGAACTGTAACGCGGTGTGCTGCAGCACCGTAGGCTCCTGAGAGCGAGGCTGAGAAGCGTGTGTGTGGTGCCCTTTTCCTCGCCCACATTTTTCATCAGACAGAACAGCATATTGATATCTAAGCTGATTTGAAGTCAGATGAAGCAGCATTACGTGATAAAAGTTAATAGAACATTTCGTGGGCCTGACGTGCTGCAGTGAAAGAAGTGAAATTGCATTAATCTGCTTTCGAAAGCTTTAAAATGCAGATTAGAACAGCATTAAACAGCGTCCGCACTCTTTCACTCATCTCTCTCTCGCTCTCTCTCTCTCTCTCTCTCTCTCTCCTGTGATCCAAAACCCACAGATCTGTCTTGACTCCTTCTTATGTAATGCTGCTCAAATGGCTCATTCTCACTGGAGCCTTTTGTGGGTTGTCTAGCAGCAGCCTAGTAAAAAGACAAACATTGCAATTTAATCCATCCATCTATCCATGTAAGATTTTACATTTAATATATAATAAATATAATAAAATTAATACTTTCTTCCGAGGCCATTTTTATTACAGTCATTTGTAACTGTACACTCACATAATCAAAAATGGTGCAAGTGATACAAGAGATATGAAAATAGTACTGATATGTTGTCATGGGCAACATTTTTTATTTTCATTTTTATTTTTTGAAAGTTCAATACCATGACTAACCAATCTGCATCAGGCACTGCAGAGACATGTACAATAATAATGTATAATGACTCTAAACTGTATATTGATACTTTATATTTTCTATATAGCTGTGCTAGTTTCATTTCTCTCGTCACTCCAATTCCATTTATTAACATTAGTTAATACATTAGCTTACATATAAACTAAAATAAGCAATACTTTTTTCAAAATGTAAAGATTCCTTATTTAAAAAGTATTAAATATAAATGTTGAAATTAACCAAAGTTAACAAATGCTCTAGAAGTATTTTTCATTGTTAATGTGTGTTACATTAAGTCGCTGCAGCTGTTAACACTCCCCCGCTGAGAGACGCACACACCGACTCGTACGGTTTCCCAAGCGTCTATGCAAATGAGGCTAAGGACTAAAAATTCAGCTTGTGAGACAGTGAAACACTGTATGTAAAATTATAGTTACTTTATATTCCTTGTTCTCTTGATGAGGATATTTGTGAGATAGTGCTTCTTTTTGAAAGCTCACTTTGATTTCTGCTTTTAGAAAGCATATGCTCTTTTTGTCTTTCTTATTCTCTCTGTCCATGTGTACTGTGACAGAGCTTGTTTGAGTCACACACACTGACAGCTGTTTCCCGAGTGCTGCTGATTATGTATATCTATTGAAACACTTAAAGATCACAACAAAGCTCTCACTTGTGTTCATAAGTGTCACGGTGTGTCAGGCAGGGAAACGCAGGAGGCTCTGAGAATCTTTGCAACAAGGAACTTTTAATAGAAAACTGAGGAAACGAGGAGAGTACACACACTAAAGATAACTGAGATAACTGACACCGAATGAACGTAGGAGACAGGCTTATAAAAGGAGCACAAATGATAAGATTAAATTAACACGGCTGGAGACAAATCAACAAAATCAGAACAGGAACAGGAAGAACCAAATATGGGCATAAGGAAACACGAGGGAAAACAAAGACCGGGACCACATGGAATCAAAACAAATACACAACACAGTCCATTACCCTGACATTTACTCCACCCTCCCGGGGGGTGGGTGCTCTGGAGACCCCTTAGGACAAACACGGGATGGCAGGCCTCCAGAGTGGTACCCGTTCCGGGACCCATGGCGGATCAGACAGACTAGGAAGCCATGGCGTAGCAGGCAGACTAGGAAGCCATGGTGGAGCAGGCAGACCAGGAAGCCACGGTGGAACAGGCAGACCAGGAAGCCATGGTGGAACAGGCAGACCAGGAAGCCACGGTGGAGCAGGCAGACCAGGAAGCCACGGTGGAGCAGGCAGACCAGGAGGCCACGGGCGGAGCAGGCAGACTAGGAGTCCATGGCGGAGCAGACAGTTCAGGAGGCCATGGCGGAACAGGGAGCTCGGGGAGCCTGGCCTCGGCCCGGCCTCCACGGATGGACTGCTACTACCCCCCCCCCCAAAAAATCCTTGGGGAGAATGTCGGTTTCAGAGGCCCTCCGTAGGCTTAACTCGGGAACTGTGGCCCTCCCTGGGCTTGACTTGGGGACTGGAGCCCTCCTTGGGCTGAACGTGGGAACTGGAGCCCTCCTTGGGCTGGACATGGAGACTGGAGCCCTCCTTGGGCTGGACATTGGGACTGGAGCCCTTTCTGTGCTAGACTCGGGGACTAGAATCCTCTCTGGGGCTAAAATCGGGGACTGGAGCCCTCTCTGGGGTAGACTCGGGGACTGGAGCCCTCTCTGGGCTAGACTCGGGGACTGGAGCCTTCTCTGGGCTAGACTCTGGGGCTAGGATGAGGGTGGAGAACAGTCCTTTTCTCCTCATCCTCCTTTGGTTACGGGTGAATGGCGTGGTTGGTGGGCTTGACATAGGCGTGGCCGGCAGTTCTGGGCTAAGGACCAATGAGGAGCTTCGGAGAATTTGTGGATGCGCGGGCGGCACTGAGGGAGCAGCGGGCTCATTGGAACCGTATGTGGAGGGGGCTGGCTTGTGGTGAGCTGGAGCGTCCACATGCTTCCGGATGGGAGGAGGATGATGATCCTCCACGTCGACAAAGAACATGGAACTATTTAACTCAAGAACACAACTTATAAACTCCGCTACGGGTCTGCGGCAATCATCAGTAGTCAGGACTCGAAACAAATTATCATCTTTTAGTCCCATCCAGAAGCACGCATTAATCATGGAATCGCTCCATCTCACCAGGTATATCATGCTCAGGAACTCCTCCACATACTGCTCCAAAGTTCCGTCCCTCCTGTGGGAAATCAAAGAGAAAGTTCTCAGCCCAGTTCATCTTGTTTCGGTCCGGTCTTCTGTCACGGTGTGTCAGGCAGGGAAACGCAGGAGGCTCGGAGAATCTTTGCAACAAGGAACTTTTAATAAAAAACTTAGGAAACGAGGAGAGTACACACACTAAAGATAACTGAGACCGGACACCGAATGAACGTAGGAGACAAGCTTATAAAGGAGCACAAATGATAAAATTAAATTAACACGGCTGGAGACAAATCAACAAAATCAGAACAGGAACAGGAAGACCCAAATATGGGCATAAGGAAACACGAGGGAAAACAAGGACCGGGACCACGTGGAATCAAAACAAATGCACAACACAGTCCATTACCCTGACAATAAGAGACAAATATGTTTGTGTGTGTATGTGCAGCTTATAAAGAATGAAGGTGGTTCTTAGGACCAGTGATGCATTTTTATGACAACTGTTTTTTTTTTTGGCATGCTAAACTCCATCTAAAATTCTTTAATAATTATTATACATGCAGTTTTGTGCACTTATATTAACTGTGAGACTATATGGAATATTTTTACTTTATTACCATTAAAATGAATTAGTGAAGGCAAACATTCATATATACAATGCCTTATACATTCAAATAAACAAAATCTTGATTTAAAAAGGCACATTATGTAACTATTCGAATTAAGTCCAAAACAAAATTATTGCATAGAGTTTTGTAGTGGTTCTCACATGTAGCACCAATTATATTGGTCACTTAAGGTGAGCGTGAGAATGTCAGATGACTCCATCCTCCTTTTACCTTGGGCCACAAGCTCGGGAAACCTTAACAGTAAAGAAGAATCATAGAGGATTGTTAAGTAAATAATAATAAAATAAAAATTCACTAAATGAATACAAGGAATATAAAACGAAATATATGATATATGAAATATGAAAATATAAAATGTTTCTCTGAAACTATTAAGATGAAGAACCTTAATACATATCAAACAAAAAAATATTTGTTATTAACTGACATCAGCTATATATACAACATATAATGCAATTTAATATAGAATCTGTTTCCAGAAGTCTCTGGAAAATATTTTTACCCATGGTCCACATGGCTAACCTTGTTGCAGATGCATCTATATTGATTTCTGCCTCTCTGGACCAGAGAGTCAGAAATTGGTCACTCTGCTTTTGCCTCTCTGGCATGGAGACTCGGGACATGCAACGTTTGTTGTTGTCTCGCCAGATGAAGGCTCAAAATATCTGTTAATGTATCTTTCCTTACAGGCTGGAGACTCAGAACAAGGAACTAGCTACTGAATGGGTACTTTTATCCCATTCCAATAATGAGAAGATTGCACTTTGGCATTTTTCCATTTCACTGCTGTGACTGGCTGTTGACATCAGAGGTGGCACACACAGCGTGGCCCACTACCAGAACACTTTTGGCAACATTCTAAATGCTTAGAGTCCAAACATGATGGAGAAAAAAAAAAACTGGCCTACACATTTAGAATGAGTTTGAAGATGGGTGATGGACATTTATTTGTGTTTGTCCAGCAGAGATTAAATAGAATTGATCAAACCTTTCTCCACTGTGGCAGTCAGAGAGGGGTCCCACGATAAATCAACACTTGTAGATCAGTACATTAAATATCTGCTTCCACTAATCGTCCTTATTGATTCATGCTGGTTAGTAATAATTTAATTAGCTGGAAAGTTAATAATAATTTAAAGTAATGTTAGATAGAGCACTAACCTATTTAAGCTCTATAGTTTCTGTATCTAATTCATTAGACCCCATCTCCCTCCCTAATTTAACTTGAAACATAGGATGGAATGTATAAAAGTACAAAATAAAATAATAATAAACTATCAGTACTTTTTACTTTTAATATGTACATGCATTTAAAATCAAGTACTTTTGCACTTTAACTAAAGTAAAAATTATAAAGCGGTACTTACAGGTTTACTGGAGTTATATTGGGGTATGCATATTTTACTCAAGTACTGTACTCAATCTGTGTTACACTCAGTGTGTTTTAGTTCAGCTCAAGTCAGCTAAAAATAGCTTTTTAGAGCAGAGGAAGTGTCAGGATGTATTTACAAGCAAGATCCAATCAGATTCCTGTTAGTGGTGTTTGTTCCATCGACAGATGGGCTGGGTGGCGTCCCGCAAAGCTGTTCCACAATGCTGTGCCAAGCCAATTCAAGAGTGCCACTCCAACTGATTCCATTAACTCAGAAGAAGCAGTTCTTGAAAGTCTATGACTGATAATACGCTTAAAGGAACAGCGCAGCCAAAAATTAACATTGTTTATTCACACTCACATTTCTCTGTTTAGCAACTCCAGAGATCATGAATTATTATTATTAATAATATTAATTATTATTATTAATAATATTAATTATTACTGTTTTTGTTCTGCTTTGTTTTGTAATGATCTTGACTCGCCGACCACAAACCATTTAATCTGTGTGACTCTGTAGAGCTTTCTCGAATGCCGTGTGTACCTGGTATTCCTTACAATATGAGGACACACAAGTAGAGTAATACCAGTAAATTTTGACCTTGTGGGAACATTTTTTAGTCCCCACGAGGAAACAAGCTTATAAGTCATATACAGTAGAATGAAGTGTTTTAAAAATCTAAAATAGGAGAACATTTTGTGTGAGCGGTAGGTTTAGGGTAAGGGGAAAGAAAATAAAGTTTGTAAAGTATAAAAACCATTACGCCTATGGAATGTCCCCACAAAAAAATGGAAACCAGTATGTGTGTGTGTGTGTGTGTGTGTGTGTGTGTGTGTGTTTATGCATGTTTCTGAATGTTAACATTTTGTTGGTCACACCACATTTGATAGTTTTTTTTTTCTGTATTACAACAGGAGTATTTTAATATTATCACTGAAATATTAAAAATAAATTTTTATTCAGAAATCAAAAATATGCTCATAAAAAAGTGTGTTTAGGTCACTGTGTGTGTGAAATGCATTTTAATGTATTAAAAAAAAAGATATGCCAAAATCATTTGCTCAACCATGATGCAGAAGTATACAGTATGCACTTTTAATAAATACTGATACCGAGTTTAATAAATACTGAATATTTAAGATCTCGAGGAGGTCATGACAAAACTTTTTTTTTTTTAAACTTCTTCTCTTTATAGACAGAGCTTGTATGCAGATGCCAAAAGCTTCTTCAATAAAGACACAGGAGTTCTGGAGGTTCCCCTGACTGTACAAGTAGCTGATCAGGTAGGAAGTCTCATTCTCAAAGTAAGGATATCTTTCAGATCTGCCCATTTTTACATCTAGTGGCTCATTGCCAATCATTATTTTAATGCTTGTATTCTCATGAAGGCTGAATGCAAATTTAATACTCTCTCATTTTTGCTTTTACGTGTCTTTGTCCATGCATAAATCGCTGCCATGGTGCAAAGGTATTTTGGGTTTTTGCTAAGGCATTGCTATGCGGTTACTATATACATGTTACATATGTTTCAGTTAATGAAACCTCTAATTTTCTGTAATCAATCAATCAATCAATCAATCAATCAAATAATTATATAAATAATCAGATATTAAAAATCACGTGCCAGATGTACATGGGGCCTGTGATGTTCTGGTCTCTAGATATGGCTCAGTATTACAGAAACTTCTCAATTGCTGACTTATGATTTGAAAAACTTCCATTTCCTCAGTGAAATTACCATGTTTACTAAACATAGGATAGAATTCTGTAATACCCTCAGGTCCATACTTCATTGCAGGTTTGTGGGATTTTTTTACCCATTTTATCAGCTGTTTGCTATGCATGCAAAGCAACATGCTCAAAGGAATTTATTACTTGTATTATCTTACACCACTTTTGCCCTTTTCCTTGTTTATAAAACCCCCCATAATCCTCAGAACTGGACACTGGTTGTCATCCCTCTATCTCAACATGCTAAAGAAGAAAGCAGGATCTCATCACGTCCTCTCATCCTTTTCCTCAGTCAGACTCTTTAGTCACGCCAGGGCTCTTACTGATCCCAATCCTGTGCCCGGACCAGAGTGCTGGCACATAACCAGATTCTTATTGCCTCCCCAGCAGCCTCACCTCACTATCAAATGCTTCAAATAACATTAGTCATATCTGTATCTGACTATAATCCTGATGCATGCAAATTAACATGCTGATTTTTTGAGAAAATTAGCAGAAATGTGGCAATCAATCAGCTCTATTAATTTACACTAAAATCCAATCAGTCCTATAATGAGTTTAATGAAACATAATGTAGGCTCTGTAGTCTGTATACTGTAAACAAAAAGATAATATTTAGTAGCCAGTTAGTTCAGAAATGTTTCCTCCAACAAAAACATTCCAAGCTTTACATGTCACCAAAAAACACATACTGAAACAAGACAGGGCAAGGCTTGACTGGATATAGCAAGACTAAGACAGGGACAGGAAAACTTGGTCCTGGAAGGCCACTGTGCTGCAGAGTTTAGGTATAACTCTGATAAAACTACTCTGGTTTCAGCCTTCTAGTAATCCTGAAAACATTGATTAGTTGGTTTCATATGTATATGATTAGGGTTGGAGCTAAACTCAGCAGGACAAGGTCTTCCAGGATCAATTTTGCCCATCCCTGGAGTAAGATCAAGATACACGAGCGAGAGTGGCAGACAAGGAGCACAACACAAATGCATGTGGCACAAAACAATCTGGTAAGCACAATGTACTGAAAATAAATGCACACAAGAAACAATGTTCCCACAGATGTGGGAACAATTAATAGAATGAGGAGTAGACAAAAGCTAAACGACGGGCGCATTAAACAAAGACACTGTGGCTAGGGTGTCAAGGCAGAACCCTGACACAACTACATACCCATTTTGCAGACAAACACCTATCTGAGTGCTTACTTTACAAATTTTTTCTTTCAAATTAGGGTTCGAAATTATCCGAATGGTTGTCAGTTGTTGATTATTGCTATCAACTCACTAGCCTGCTGACCTAGGTTTTATTTTAATTTGTGTTGCACTACTTCATTTTAAACCCAAACTAACAAATATGTGATTAACATTACAAGGTCCTAGCCATTTAATACAACCCTCTGGGACTGTTCTTGCCTTACACCGCATGAGCAAATGTTATTGTTAGGCAGCTATAGAATAAACAGTGGGTTTGGACAACCCAGACTTACTGCAGGATGGTGCTACGTATGCATGAGGTCCATATATTTTAAAATGCAAATTTTTTCAGTGTGGCCCCAAACGATCTCAATCTATCCTTTGATTAGAGCTTTGTGGAGCTCTTGTGGCAGCCCAGTTAGCTAGATTGCTGTAAAGAAACCACATTGTTGTGGACAGACTTCCACAGTCCTCACCTAGCTGAATTTGGAGTACTGTCACTACAAAATCTTTGAAAGAGGGTAGCAGAAATTCAGGAGTAAATAAAAAGTGTACCTGGCACTATGTGGATTCGGCAAAGAGTCCAAAAGATTCACTACATTTACATTATACATTTATTCATTTAAGGATGCAATCAAAAGCTGACGAAAAAGATACGTTTTCAGCTGTCACTTGAAAATTGTCAGGGATTCAGCATTCCGGATGGGGGTGGGAAGATCGTTCCACCAGCCAAGAACAGTGAACAAAAATGTTCCGAAAAGTGATTTTGTGCTTCTCTGTGATGGTACCACAAGGCGATGCTCACCTGTAGATCTCAGGCTTCGTAAGAGTGAGTGGAAGTAGGAGTGGGCTGTTCTATACGCAAGCATCAATGTCTTGAACTTGATGCAAACCACAACCGATAGCCAGTGCAGGGAGATAAATAGAGATGTGACGTGGGCCCTTTTGGGCTCGTTGAAGACCAGTCATGCCGCTGCATTCTGAATCATTTGTAGAGGTTTGATTTCGCATGATGGAAGTCCAGCCTAGAAATGACAAGGGCCTGGACAAGAAGTTGTGCAGCATGCTCCTGATCTTGGGATGATCTTTCTGATGTTGTGCAATGCAAACCTGCAAGATCAAGGAGTTTTTGCAGTGTGGTCTTTGAAAGTCAGCTGGTCATCAAAGATTACACCAAGATTTTTGACCGAACTTGATGGGGTAATTGTTGATAAACTTAACTGGATGGTGAAATCATGCTGTAGAGCAGTGATTTTCAAACCTTTTACAGCGGCGTACCCCCTGGGGCATTTAACATTCTTCGGAAGTCCAGCATAGAAATGACAAGGGCCTGGACAAGAAGTTGTGCAGCATGCTCCTGATCTTGGGATGATCTTTCTGATGTTGTGCAATGCAAACCTGCAAGATCAAGGAGTTTTTGCAGTGTGGTCTTTGAAAGTCAGCTGGTCATCAAAGATTACACCAAGATTTTTGACCGAACTTGATGGGGTAATTGTTGATAAACTTAACTGGATGGTGAAATCATGCTGTAGAGCAGTGATTTTCAAACCTAAAAATAAAACCGCCAATAGGTGGCGGCAAGTCACTGTCTTAATGAGCCAGGCATCGCATCATTCATTCATTCATTCATTCATTAACGAAGCAAAATGCTGTAGTTATGAATGGGTTATTAATCACTGACTCTCCGAATCGTTCAAAGCCGCAGATTCGTTCACTAACTAAACACCACTTGCTTGGAGTCGCACAACGGATGATACGGATTTCATTGGAACTATTTTTATTTCGTTGCAAAATATAACAAACATGACAATATTCTGTTTAAAATGTAGGCTACATTTAAAATGTAAAATGTTCACTAAATATTACCTTTTTTTTGTTGAACTGTTCTAAAAATTAATGTCACATCGTTTGGCTATTCAGGGAAATTCTCATTATTGCTCGTATTTTAAACATGAAAACAATAACTCACACAGGTTGTCTGTATCGAAGAGAGTTTAAATTGATCTCAATGTACAGTTAGTGTCAATATTTGCTCTTCATGCTATTAAGTGAAGATCTACTTTAAAGATACATTAAAAAGCAGCGTGATTTGCTAAAGCAGCATATTCAGCGGGCAGTCATCACATGCACGCTGCTTGTGTGGATGTCGTCAGTTTTGACCTCAAAAAATGAGGTAAGCTGATTGGATATCATGTATTTGACCGTTTACGGCACTCCCATTTTCCTGTTTTTACATTAGAAGCGGCATTTTGCTTGTCAGAAATACTAAGAATTTTGACAGCAAATTTTGATTTAGTTTTAGTTATAGTCTTTTGACTAAAATGCCATTTAGTTTTAGTCATATTTTAGTCATCTGAATTGTTTTTAGTTTTAGTCGACTAAATATCATAAGATTTTAGTCGACTAAATCTACAGTAAATTT